CCTTAAAAAAAAAAAAAAAAAAAAAAAAAGGAAGAAGAAAATTATTAATGTCAGCTTGAAAATCCGGGAAATAGTCCTCAAATTTCGCACTATTTCACAAAGGTTATTTAAAATTACGAAATCCGTGGTCTTCACGATTCGATCCGCGACTTTGTCTTCTCTTCCTTCTCCTCTTGTTCTCTCTTTATACTCCATTCCAAACTGTGGAGGAAAAGTCTCACCGGAAGTTTCTCAGAATCTTACTTCCTTGTAGTAAATGAATCCATCTCCTTCGGTAGTTCCTGGTGATTTCGGGTGACTGGATGAAGCGGCTCTCGTTTGAATCGCCGACGAGGTTTTAGGATTATAAAGGGTCGTCGTCTGTTTTGCTTTGGATTTGGTGGCTGGAAATTAAAGCTTGGTCGGCTGTGGTTGTTGGTTTTTATGATCATGTTGATGGCGGATGAGGGTTCTAATTTTCCCTTACAGTATGGTGCTGATGATTTTGGTGGAGACACGTCTATTGACTATGAAGCGTTGTTTCATATGCTGAACGAGGATCTGGATCCTTCGCAGGTAGGTTTGTTGCTGGTGGTTGTAGGAAAATAAGGGTTTTCCTTTTCTGAATTGAGATTAGAGGTCTTGGATTTTAGGGAAACTGTAGCAACAGTTGCAATTCCCCCTCTGGGTTGGAATCCCTTAGAATTAGTTGGTGCTTTAAGCGTATGATCAGTGCTAACTGCTGATTCACCCAAAAATTCAGAGAAAACGTGTTGAGTTCATATTACAGACCAACGTTTATATTTACATGTGGTGGAATAAAGGAGAAAGCACTAGTTAAACCTTTATCTTTCTCACTCGTTAGGATTACTATACTGTGGGCAGAGCGACGCCGCTTAGGTAATGTTATTAAGTTAAGCAACCTCGAATTTTCCGAAATCAGTTGGGTGCAATCATGTCAGTTCAGCTATTTTTGGAATGTTAGAGTCACTCTATCCGCCGGGTCACTTGACATCTCGCATCGAATGAATGAAATAAAATCGAGATATGGTGTTGTAAAACTGTCGTCTTTGTTTCGTTTATTTCATTGGAATTTGTTAAAAGAGCGAAGAACTTGGTCTCTTTATGGACCGTTCTTTAATTAATTTTTAAACTCGACATAGATGAAAGTAGAATTGAAATACGGGGATAATAAAGGGTATGGATATATTGGTAGATATTTTAAACTTGCATGTTCTATATTCTCACAGATTGCCTGCATAATCCATACATTATTTCTCACGAGCAACTTTCTCTTGGTTGCTTGTTTATGATTATCCCAGAATCCGCCAGAGGACTTGTCGCCAAATAATGTATCGACTGGCCAACCACGTTTTGATGCTTCCAACCAAGAAAATTCCCAACAGAAGAACGGTTAGTATGAATGAATATCACATTGGTACTATTCTTTCTTCTTGTATAAAGAGAGCTTTTGTCCTTCCTCTAATGCTCAAACCAGTAGGATGTCATTACCTTTAAGGAATTATTACTTTTATTTCATGTTTACCCCCATCCCTGGCTAGATTGGGTTTTAGGTGTTATACACCGAAAAGGTGCACCTGTAGTATCTTGAAAGGGTTTGGGTTAACCTCCAGTCGCATTTTGCTTTTGATAGGATATGAATTCTTACTCTATGGTGGGGATAAGGTTAAATCTATTAACATCTTTGTAATTTGACTCACTGTTTCGACTCGACCCTTTCTTTGTAGCAATTTTGT